CTTTCTTGAGTTTTGCTCGTGTTGCTCAGGCTGGAGTGCAATGGCACTATCTTGGCTCATTGCAACCTTGGCCTCCCAGGTTCCTGCGATTCTCCTGCCTCAACCTCCCAAGTAGCTGGGATTACAGGCGTGTGCCACCACGCTCAGCTATGTGTATTTTTAGTAGAGACAGGGTTTCACCATGTTGGCCAGGCTGGTCTCAAACTACAGACCTCAGGTGATCCGCCCGCCTCGGCCTCCCGAAGTGTTAGGATTACAGGCATGAGCCACCACACCTAGCCAAAACTCTTCTTTCCTAGCAAGAAAAGACACTGTTTTGGCAGTTTTCAGCATGGTGTGGTGAAGATTTGCACATCCCTCTCCTGTGGCCCTCTTGTGGCCATGTTTGAGTTTGCGTCTCTGCCTGCTTTTTCTCCTCACTGGGAACTTCAGTGGGATCAGAACATGAAAAGTGATGCACTTGTCATTTATGTTTTGTTTGAAAATAAAAGTTTTTTCCTCAAACACTTATAACTTAAATCACAGAGCATTTTGTACATGCGAGGTTCATTGTGGTTCTTTTGCATTATACCAGATGACAAGTAATTTATCCATAAAATATGTTAATTACACATAGTTTAATAATTGTCATATCAAAATACTATTTAGAAAGAAGTCTAATTCCTGGATTTAAAAAGTGATCCTATGCTTCTAACCACTTTAGTCTACAGAAGAAGCCTCTTAAAGTGTTAAACTCTAAAGTTCTTTTCATTTTTCCTAGAAGATAGATTTGGATATATACTTTGTCTCATGGTTCATTAGTGATTTTGTTTCAGCTTGTACAAAATATGTGTGCATTTAATCAAATATGTGAACATCTTGAGAGCAGTCTTCTTATTTAGATATGCATCCTTAGTACTGTAGCACTGTACCAGGCTCAAATAGTAGGCGCACAGTAATTGCTCATTTAAAGTGAACTCAATATGTTCTGCCTTTTGAATGTTCTACTTACTGAATTGGCACCATATTATTCATAAAACTTTGAAAACTTTCTGTTTCTAAAAGTGCCTTTTTACATTTAACAAATAACGATACAGTGTTTAGGTAAATGATTCATTTACCTAATTACCTCCCTCCCTCCTTTCTTCCCTCCCTTCCCTCTCTCCCTTCCTCCCTCCCTTCCTTCCTTCCTTTCTTCCTTCATTCCTAAAGATCAAAGTTGAATTCAGATGATTAAAACAATTTAAAATAAAAATGGCAAATTTAATTAACAAAATGAGACGAAACATAATTAATTCTAGGTAAGAAGTGCGCACCTGACTTATAAGCTATTAAATACCTTCTTGTTAAAGGGGAGCTCATCTCTGATATTTCTTATGTTTTCCCAAAAGCCCTGATTGTTGTGCCAGATACTTTAAGAACTCTTAAAGGCTATTAGGGATTGATAAACCAGAAATACTCAGATAAAAATGCACAGACAGGAATGCTAGAGAGCTTTATGTATCTGCTGTGCTAACCGGAGTCTGGCCCAATCTTCTGGAATGCAGAATTATATACTTGGAATTACAGACTGGTGACAGTGTACATCTCATAGTAAAAATACCCCATCTCTACTAAAATATAAAAAAAAAATTAGCTGGGCATGATGGTGCATGCCTGTAGTCCCAGTTCCTTGGGAGGCTGAGGCAGGGAAATTGCTTGAACCTAGGAGGCAGAGATTGCAGTGAGCTGAGATCCCACCACTGCACTGCAGCCTGGCTGCAGAGTGAGATTCTGTCTCAAATAATAATAATAATAATAATAATAAGATTTTTTTTTCTTATATTTGTTTTGCTTTTCAGTGTGAGCTTATTAAGTTTCTGTGTTAACTATACTGCTGGTGGTCTCTTCCTTTTAGATATTTACTAAAATATCACGGGGCATGTGGTAAACCACCAAGATGAGTTGCTCTTTTAACACATGATAATGAATGTAACTAACAGGGCCAATATGAAGCCAGGATATTTTTGAAATTTTAGTGTGACAAAAGGAAGCTTGAATGCAAAAGCCAGGAAGCAATGTGGCTGAATTGTGAGTTACCATTGCAATATGCTTGCTTTCAAAACAAAGGGCTAGAACAATTTAAGATTACCTTTAAATAAATGCAGTGACCATATTATCAAAAGTAATTGATCCTGGAGACCACATTTCAGGACAAACTATGACAAATAAGAACTTTTCCAAAAAAGAGGAATAAGGAAGATGAGAGGGAGGCCTGATAAAACTTATTAGAGGAACAGCTAGAGGTTCCTGTGCAATGCCAGAGGGAGGGTAAAGGGGTTGGCAGAGCTGATCCACAAGTTTGAAAGAAGCTGGCATGTGGAGGAAGGGGAGCAAGTAGATTCTCAATGGATCCAAGAAGCAGATTTTGCCCCAATATGGGATGGAACTTCCACCATTCAGACGTCCTCCAAATAGGATAAGCTGCTTTGAGAAGCAACTACTGTACTGCACATTTCAGAAGGGGCTGAGTAACGAAGTTGCAGAGGACATTCTTCTTGTGACTCCAAAGCTGAATTTAACGGCCTCCCCTCTGAATTACTGAAAGAACCTTGTATATAACATTTCAGTTGCATTTTAATAGATTTTTAGATGAGACCACTTTCTACAGGAAATGAAGGGGATAATGTTTGGGATATGGACACAAGAGGCCAGAGTGGAAGAGGAGGATGCAGTGTTCTTTTGAAAAATGTTTTTAGCTGGGCACAGTGGCTCACACTGGTAATACCAGCACTTTGGGAGGGCGAGGCAGGTGGATTACCTGAGGTTGGGAGTTCAAGATCAGCCTGGCCAACATGGTGAAACCCCATCTCTGCTAAAAATACAAAAAAATTATCTGTGTGCCTGTAATTCCTGCTATTCAGGAGGCTGAGGCAGGAGAATCGCTTGAATCTGGGAGGCAGAGGCTGCAGTCAACAGAGATCGTGCCACTGCCCTCCTCCAGCCTGGGTGACAGAGTGACAGGGTGAGACCCTGTATCAAACAAAACAAAAAACAAACCTCAGAGACCTTTCTCATACTCAGTGAACCTACTGGGCTGAATGAAGCACTATTAATTTGGGAGGATTGGAGAGTGGCTATTAATGCAACAAAGCATATTACCTTATTTTTTATAAGGATATTTGTGTACCTCCAAGTTGCTCTGTTTTGGCATGAGGAGATAGAATGGAAACCCATTTCCTTTTCTTTTTCAGCTTCCAGGAAGTTCACAGCTTTGACTCGGGCCAGGCTTTGCCATGGGGCCCACTGTGTGCAGCAATGGCCAGCTGCCACTCTCTGATCCTTCTTGATGGGACCATCCAGGGAGACCCTCTGGACCTCAAAATGTTTGAAGCCACCACCTGGGTAAGCCTCTGCCCTTCAGAGAATCTGAGAAGCTTCTTCAATGCCAGAGCAGCATAGGCAGTATCAGAGCTATCTAATTCTTATAAAAGGTGAGGTTTCCAGTGTGGAGTGCATATGGTAGTGATGGGCAAACTAATCTAAGCCTGGTTTCCTCATCTGCACAATGAAGCTAATAATAGCATCTACATAATAAGATTATTGTGAGGATTAAATGAGATGATGCATTACAAAAATCCTTGGTACTGTGCCTGGCAAATATTAAAGGTTCAATCATATTCATATAATTGTAATTATTATGTAATTATATCTCATCTCTCTGTACTGTTCTCTGAGCATTGTCTGATTTCAGAGGTTTTCCACAATATGGGGATTAGAAAATATTACTTTCTCTAGTGCTCAGGATAACTCATAGTCATGGTGACTGTAAGTCTTATTCCTATTAATTTAGTATTGATTTTATTTCCAACACTAGAAACAGCAAAAAGGAAAACAGCTGAAGAGTTTTTGTTGAGACTCTAAACTAGATTTAAGAGCCAACAGTGTAGTTCAGGAATCCGGCTTTTCTGATTCTAGTTTTGGCTCTGCTCTGACTGACTGCTGAATCCCGTTAGCTATGTCTCTTGTTGGGGCCTTGGCTCTCATGTCCATAAAATGAAGTTGAATTAGACCAGTGGTGTTCACATAACACAAAACAAGACTAAAAAATCTGGAAACTTTTCATAAAAGGAAACAGTCTTCAGAAACACTCTAAAGGCTAAATAGCTGGAGTTGCTCCGGTTGAAATAAAAGGTGGGGACTAAAGATGGGGATTAGGGGACACGCATCCCCAACTACTTAGCTAAAATCCCTTCCTTGTTCCCTGAGCTGCATACAGCTCTAGCCTCTGGTGGCACACTGGGAGCACCACTGGAAGAGACAATTTTCAGGGTCCCTTCCAAATCTCTTGGAGCGTTATTTCATAGCAATCTAATGTAACTTTGCCAATCCCCCATCTTTTCTCGGTTACTGATTCCATATCTTTAAATAGGGATTGCAGTTTCCTCTCTGGGATCTTGTCAGCCACTCAATGAGATGATTACAAAGCACTGCGTTGTCTTTGGGTAAAAGGTCCCTTTCAGTATACTTTAGGGTCATTATTATAGCAATTACTGATTATTAACCATGTATATTACAGTCTCTGCCCTGCCCTGAGGACCATCCATCCAAATTAAACAGACATGCAAGAGCAGGATGAGCAGTGTAGTGCAGGAAAAGAATGACAGAAAGGTGCTTGCTTCACACAAAAGAAGTCTGGCCCTTCATGCTCATGACTTTCAAGTTAGGTTCTTCAGAAATGGAGGATGAGCCTTTATACAGCACATTCAAACAGAGAAAAGAAGATAAATTGCATGAATAATTCAAAAGTGTCTGCCCTTCAAGTTGTACAGCATTTTCAATGCATTATTTTGTGTGTGTGTGTGGTGGAATAAATCTGGTTCACCTCTGAGGGAACACAGAGACACGGAGAACACATTGAGGTGGTCTGAGGATTTTTTCAAGGGGAGGGATCGAGCATAGCACCAGTGGGCAAACAATAAATAAATCTCTGCAATGAAATATCCTATTCGTGAAATAGGAAATGGCTTTTTCTGGGGACGATTTCCACGTCAAGGGAGTGCCGGCACATGCCATGGTAGTTAAGCCCTGCAGGACGGCCAGCCAGGTAAGCCTTGCTTGCTCTTCATCTCACAACACCCAAACTCAAAGAGAAACTCTCTTCTGGCCCGCAATTTTTGAAAGGTTACAGATGTGTCTTTGAATTTCAGGTGTGAAAATGGGTGAGACCTTCCCCCTTATTTGCTAAAATAAAGATTAAGGAGGGAGTTGTTGATTCCCCGTAGCTAGAAGCTGTATCAGCATGTGCCTCTCTTTGCCCCCATCCCCCAACCAGGTCCCAGTGGAAGGAATCGCAATCCTGCATCAGTTCCCATTCTCATCAGCACTGCAAAGGATGACAGTCATTGTCCAAGAGATGGGAGGTGACCGACTGGCATTCATGAAAGGTGCACCAGAGAGGGTGGCCAGCTTTTGCCAACCTGAGACAGGTCTGTAGCTTGACTTGGATTACACTGGCAAATATGTACCTCCAGATAAATATGCTCCCATGGCATGTAATCTATGAATCCAACTGCCCGTGGGTCATCACCAATTGGGTGACTCATTGGCATTCCAAATTCCATACGAAAACAAAGCTTGTCTTTCTCATTTCCTGTATTTCCCAGTTTTCTATTTTGGTGAATGGTACCACCATCCCCCACACCCATCCCGTTTAGGTGTCATCCCTGATTCCTTGCCCACCCTTAGTGCCCCTGTCTCATCAGTTGCTAATCCATGGTCCTTTACTGCATCTGCTCAGGACTTCATCATCCTTCATCACTTCAATAGTTGGTGGATTGACCCTCTGCCTCCAGTCTCCTCAACTCTGATTTGCCTTCTGTACTGTGACCAGATTTTTTGCAAAAAAAAGATTCTTTTAGTTGCTCTCATAGGCTCCAGTATAATCTCAACTTTCTTTAGGATCATATATAAGGCTTTCGGGTTTGAACTCGCAGTGAACTTTCCAGATGGGCCTTACCACTCCTCATCCTGTGCTTTTCCTGAACTGAACTAATTCTTCACAGCTTACTCTCATGCCTCCACGCGTAAGCATATGATTCTCCCTCAGCCCCAAAACCTTCCTTTACAGAACCACCTCCTCCTAGGCTGGTATATACACCACCAAACACTTTCCACAGCATGCTGCAGTGGCCTGGATCATAGCAATAATCTCATCTGCGGAATGGATTTCAGTTAGACAGAAATCCTTAGAGCAGAACTTGTGAGTTTTTTTCAATTTCATTCTTTTTTTTAACTTATATTTTAAGTTCAGTGGTACATGTGCAGGTTTGTTATGTTGGTAAACTTGTGTCATGGGTGTTTCTTGTATGGGTTACTTCATTGTCCAGGCATTAAGCCGAGTACCCATTACTTATTTTTCCTGATCCTCTCCCTCCTCCCACCCTCCACCCACGAATAAGCCCCAATGTGTGTTGTTCCCCTCTATATATACATGTGTTCTCATTATTTAACTCCCACATATAAGTGAGAACATGCGATTTTTGGTTTTCTGTTCCTACGTTAGTTTGCTAAGGATAATGGTCTCCATCTCCATCCAGGTCCCTGCAAAGGACATGATCTTGTTCTCTTTTATGGCTGCATAGTATTCCATCATGTATATGTAGCACCTTTTCTTTATCCAGTCTACTATTGATGGGCATTTAGGTTGATTCCATGTCTTTGCTATTGTGAATGGTGCTGCAATAAACATATGCGTGCATGTGCATCTTTATAATAGAATCGTTTACATGACTTTAGGTATATACTCAGTAATGGGATTGCTGGGCCGAACGGTGTTTCTGTCTTTAGAACTTTGAGGTATCACTGCATTCTCTTCCACAGTGGTTTAACTAATTTACACTCCCACACTCCCGCCAACAGTGTATAAGCACTTCTTTTTCTCCACAACCTCACCAGCATCTGTCGTTTTTTGACTTTTTAATAATCACCATTTTGACTGGTTTGAGATGGTAACTCATTGTGGTTTTGATTTGCATTTCTTTAATGATCAGTGATGTTAAGCTTTTTTTTTTTTCCACGTGATAGTTGGTTTCATGTATGTTTTCTTTTGAAAAGTGTTCATGTCCTTTGTCCACTTTTTAATGAGGCTGTTTTTTTCTTCTTGTAAATTTTCTTTAAGTTCCTCATAGTTGCTGGATATTAGACCTTTGTCAGATGCATAGTTTGCAAAAATTTTCTCCTGTTCTGTAGGTTGTTTATTTACCCGGTTGATAGTTTCTTTTACTGTGCAGAAGCTCTTTAGTTTAATTGGATCCATTTGTCAATGTTTGCTTTTGTGGCAATTGCTTTTGGCATCTTTGTCGTGAAATCTTTGCCCATGCCTATATCCAGAATGGTATTGCCTAGGCTGTCTTCCAGGTTTTTATAGTTTTAGGTTTTAAAAGTCTTTAAACCATGTTGAGTTAATTTTTGTAGATTGTGTAAGAAAGGGGTCCTGTTTCAATCTTCTGGTTATGGCTAGCCAGTTATTCCAGCACCATTTATTGAATAGGGAAACCTTTCCCCATACTTGTTTTTGTCAGGTTTGTCAAAGATCAGAATGTTGTAGGTATAAAATCTTATTTCTGGGTGAAGAGCCTGTGATTTAATCTCTACATAGCCAATGCCTGGCAGATAGTAAACTCTTAATAAATGTTTGTTGCTTAAACTGAAGAAAAAATAATTCTACACTTTCCCTGTCTTTTTTTTTTTTTTTTTTTTTTTTTTTTTTTTTTTTCAAATGCTTCCTTTTCATTTTAGCTTCACTAGATCTGAATAGGTCCACCCTGACAATGTAGTTATGTTTAGAATTTCCACTGACTTGTTTACATATTTTTGTAGAGGTGTTTTTTTCCCTGGGCAAAAGTTAGATGTTTGTAAAGAATTTCTTTGCCAGTACTGCCTAAGTAAATACCGCATACTAACCCTGTGTTACTTTCTAAACAGTACCAACTAGTTTTGTTAGCGAACTTCAGATTTACACGACACAGGGCTTTCGAGTCATTGCACTGGCCTACAAGAAGCTGGAAAATGACCACCACACCACTGCCTTGGCGAGGTAAATGGGGATGATTTTGATAAAGCAGAATGGTTTGATGGAAAGATGTACCAGATTGGAATGGCAAGTGCATTAGACTGGGATGGACTCAGTCAGGGGTTCTAGGTGGTGGACGGAGCACTATAGCTTATTTGTGTGCATAGCATGTCCCCGAACATTGGTAAACAGGGATATAATAATCCCTGCCCTACTTAAATCACAAAGATAATGTGAATTCTGACTGGGAGATTTTATGAGAAATAGTCATATAAGATGTAAAATATGGTGTGATTTGCACAGCTTTGTGAAAACAGATATAGGAGTATAATCGGCGTTTCAGAATTCAAAATTGTGGTCATGCCCCCATTAAAAAATTATAGTTGGTGGATTGGTTGGGAGTTACAAAACATAACATTTCACTGAAATAATTTGTGATAGGAAATACACAGCATAATCAAACAAATAAATACAGCTTAGATGATATAATCTTGGTAATGTCTACTAAAAGGGAAAACTTCTGAGGTGCCGTACTAGAGAAAGATTTTAATCTATAGATTAAATTTTATATTTTAAAATTAAAATAGAGATGCTTAACAGATTAAAAAAACTTCAGTATTTATGAGTTCAATTTTATTTTAATTTTTAAAATTCCACTGTTTTCAGGTATCATGTTTATTTCACCTTTCGTGTCATTTCCAACACTTAATGTCAGTCACCCCTTGTTATACTGTTGTGGAGCTAATCCAGGCTCATTTTTAAATTCAGGATTTTACATTTGGAAAGTCTAACATCTTTATTTCAATCTATTCAGACTCAACACTCTCTTGTAACTATATGCTGTAACTCTTAGTATTCTAAAATAAAGTTCATATAACATTATCTCCCCGTATTCTTTGTAAAATATCTAATGCCCTATTATATAGTAAAAATAAAAGCAAAAGATATAATGTTTCACAAAAGTGGTAGTTTAATAAATGCTCAGCTGACTTTACTAAAACAAAATGAAGTAATAAATTGCTTATACCTGTGTATAGAATAATTGAGGCTGCAGCATCTACAAATTCAGATTGATACAAGTGTGTTATGTATTGCAAGATCAAATACCTCAGTCTTGCTGCCAGTGAGGTGACTGTGAAGTGGTTAACAAGTCTTGGTAAAAGTCTGAAGGAAACAGCACAGCCTCCTCCCAATTTACGTAGTACAGGTAGTTACAATTCTGCAAAATGCAACAGAATATGATAAATGTGAAAAATACTTTTTGTTTATATGTAAGACATGTAAATGGGGGGAAGCTAGTGAAATTTTAATAAACAATTTTGTGATTATTTAATATAATACAGTAATATTATATATGCCATAAGAGTACAGTATATAATAGTATAATAATAGTAAAATATATGCAGTATAAGCCTAAAATGACTTAGGGAAATACAATAATTTTTTCAGTGTCCATGAATGTCCAGTAAGATATTCAAAAGGCATGTGGGATGCAGGATAATTATTCATTGTGAATTGGTCTTTGCAGAAAGTCTTGCATAGATGCCAAAAAAAGAAAAGAAAAGAAAATTCCACAGTGTCCTCTAGAGGGAGTACTGTCCCTGCTGTGACCCACCCCTCTCACTTTGTGAATGGATAAAACCAGGCCCAGAGTAGGAAGAGGTTCCTGGGCTTGTGGACCACTCACCCCAGGGGCCAGTTTAATGTGACCCCTGAAACTTTGGTTACTACAACCCTGCATATTTGTTGTAATTTGATCAACTTAGTTCAGGGTCACTCAAGTGAGGGCGCTAAAAGTAAACTTTGAGATGGGATGTCACATTTTGAAGGAGAGGAAACTTGGGTCCAGGGAAGGGAAGGGACAGAGCAGAATTGAGAATTGAACTTAGCTTCCTAAGAGGCTGTTGCCAAAGGCTATAACAAGATTCTGGCTACCATGCTGCTGCTTCTAATTGTTATAACGTGATATTTGCATATTTGCAAGTTGCGAATTCATGGTTTTGAAATGCATGCATATAAGAAAGCATATCCTGTGGAGACACGTGAGCAATGGGGAATAGTGAGGGCTGTGGTACACAGGAGAGTACATGTCCTGGTTAAAGGTACTGAAATCCTAACTTTTTAAAATCTTGTATGATCTAAACACAAATCACAAATTCTCTAATAGGATTTGATCTTAGGTCATCAATTTGCCTCTCCTATCTTAAAAGCACATCACCACTATGCATATGCATACACATAGCTAAATCCTGATTAGAATGAAGCATTCTTGCTGTTGTTTCGGGTTTGTGTGTATGTGTGTGTGGTTACTTGTGGTGCTTCCATCGTTGATATCATAATCTCGTCAAAGGCCATTGGCCCACTTTATGCATATTTCATCCTTCAAAAGTCACATGGATTTTAAGAACATGAAATGTAATCACAGGGATGACAATACTTTCTATATGTTACACTTACTGTTTTTTATTATTTTAGATACTTCAGGAATAGGCATAAGGTCTGTGCAGGAAGCCAGAAGAGATGGAATGTCATTCCAACTTGTGGAGCTTAAGACCCCTTAATGAATTACTCCTTTTAAATTTTTTGGCTCAGACGACAGGCTCATGAAAGGAAGACTCATGTAATCTTAGAGCTAGCAGAGACTTTGGAGATGCAAAGATGAACTTGATTACCAGACAAAAAATGTGATGTACTCATGCTCACACAGCAAGGGAGGGGTAGGCCTGAGATTAGAACTCTAGTCTCTTGGTTATTGTGCCTTGAACCATACAAAGGCCATAAGCCAGAGGAACTAGAAATACTAGTGTCAAGGTAGGCCATAGGCTCTGCTATGGCAGATGTCTGACCTTGCAGTCATTTTCTTGGCCTAATCTGGCACTTTGTGGTTGGCTCATGTCATGTCATCTGCAGAAATATCCAAGGCCTGGGGCCTGAGTAGCAGGACCATGAGAAAGATTGGCAAACCTGTTGTGCCAAACCCACACTCACTTCAATAGGGAAAGCATCAGGTTCAGGAGGCTGAAGAGACCCAGAGCCAGCAAATGATACATGGGGTTTTATTAGGGGCTCACCTCCAGGGGAGAGAGTCCAGCGACAGTGGTCTGGGCAGGAGAACCACCTGACATATAGAAACAGCCCAGGGGCAACAAAGTGGACAATGCATCTGCCTTCATATACTCCAGTGGTGGTGGGCTAGACAAGAAAAGTGGCCTAGTGGCAGTGCGCTGTGCAGGAAAGCCGCAGCTGCCTGCAAACATCATGCAGTTTGTACAGCATTTTCACTTGACTCCTTAGTGACCTCCATCCGGCAACCTTCATCCAACTCAGGGCCTCAGTCCCCTGACAGCCTGGGACATGTCCACTAGATGGGAAGGGAGTTCAGAATTTCCTCAGAGGCAAGGAACAAATCTCTGGGTTGGCCACTCCCAGATTTCCTAGCTTGGAACATACATTCAGGTGCATCTGCCATAGAGGGTCATTCGAAGAGTATGCTTCAGCAGTATTGCTACCAGGTGCGTTTACTCTGTAAGACAATCAGACATTAACCAAGTTATCCTTCAAACAACAGATTAAATATCATCTTCTACAGGAAGCCTTCTCCAATCAGCACACCCAGAAATGACTGGATCCTCCTCTCTGACTCCATGGGATTCTGATTTGGACATCTGTCATAATATTTTTCCCAGACTTCCACTCAACTGAATGAGTCATGTCTAATTTCTACCTCCTCATTGAATGTAAAATCTCTGGAATTAGAGACTACTATAGTCTCTGCATATTCTCTTCCACTTTTCCTCAGTGCTGTTCATTGAACTCAGCAGAATTTCTGAATGACGAATTTCCCTAGGTTACCTGGCAAAATGTGGCCCCAACAGGCCTCATGGCATTTCAGCTAGACACTATTTGCTGAGTGCTCACTGTGTAATTGGACACCACATGGGTAGTGTTGAACACAGCATTGAGTCAGGTGCGATTGTCCTCAAGGAGTTCAGACAGTGTGACAAAGCAGAAAGCCAAGGCCAAGGATAAAACATGGGCAAATAAAATGTGAGTTCCACAGAAATATAAGTAATATGCTAAGGGAGCGATTATTTCTATCTGAGGAAGCCTTTGTGGGGGAAGTGGCATGAGAACTGGGGCTCAAAACATAGGGAGAGTTTCAGTAGCAGATCATGGGGAGATTACAACCTTTTCTATGAAATAAGGAAAAATGTCTTATAGCAGTCTAAAGCAAATGTCTAGGGATGGTTAAGTAGAGAGAAAACCCATTGCTAGTGGTTCAGCTTGGCTGGAAATTAGGGTGGGTGAAGAATTTAGTCATCGCTGAAGCTGGAAAGATAGTTTGGAACCAGATCATAGAGAGATTTAAATGACAGGTTCAGGAAATGGGAAATGCTCTGAGGTGAGTAATTGAAACTGTGTCCACTTCCTGCAGTTCTGTGGAGATGTTAGCAGTTTCCTGGGAGCATCACTGACTCTAGTTCATGACCATGGCTGATGTGAGACCCACTCTTGAGACAGGCAAGGAGTTTTAGTGGGTGCCTCTTTCATCTATTATTTCAGCCAGTGTTAGGCAGTGCTGGTATCTTGTTCTCTGCTTGTGTCTAAGATAAATAAATCATGGAAGAATCTTTGAACTCCTGATCCCCAATATATTCCCCTGCACTGGGTTCTGTAGAATGTCCCTGAAAATATTCTTGGGGTGGATAGGAGCCTTGAAGACTGCACTTTCTTACAGAAACATTCCCGCTTGATGCAGAAGATCATTGCTACCACTGGGGGAGAAAGACAGGGATGACTTTGACCTGAATAGAGAGGCCTGTTTGTTGAGATTGTGACCTCATACCTCCTTGAGCTAAAATAATATTGATTATAGACTTGCCTGCTGGAGGAACTGGCACTTTATTATATTTTTCTTGTGCCTCCTTTATTTTTCATGTTTTGTACCAGAACTAAAACTCCCCTTTGTGGTTAACAGGTGAGGTAATAAAAATCAGGCTAGCCACAACAGGTGGAGGAGAACCTTACAGGCTTTCAGGTTAAAAGGTTAAAGCAATGCTTTTGCTTAATAAACAGTCTCTTCCTCTTCATTCAGTTAGAGTCAACATCTCCAGAGCCTTTGTGTCCTCTCCTGTCCTCTTTCTGCATCATTCCTGGTCATAATTGGCGTCTAACTAACAGTGCTTGAATGAGTGAATGGAACCACTATGACAGGGGTCTTTTTCCTGTCATTTTGCTTCCTGTAAGAAAGCAATAATGTGGCCGGATGCGGTGGCTCACGCCTGTAATCCCAGCAATCTGGGAAGCTGAGGTGGGTGGATCATGAGGCCAGGAGTTCAAGACCAGCCTGGCCAAAGTGGTGAAACCCCGTGTCTACTAAAAAATACAAAAAAATTAGCTGGGCCTGGTGGCGGGCACCTGTAATCCCAGTTGGGAGGCTGAGGCAGAGAATTGCTTGAACCTGGGAGGTGGAGGTTGCAGTCAGCCGAGATGGCACCACTGCACTCCAGCCTGAGCGACAGAGTGAGACTCTGTCTCAGAAACAAACAAACAAACAAACCCAAAAATTAGCCGGGCGTGGTGGTAGGTGCCTGTAACCCCAGCTACTGGGGAAGCTGAGACAGAAGAATCGATTGAACCACTGTTCTCCAGCCTGGATGACAGAGACTCCGTCTCAAAAAAGAAAAAAGAGAGTTGTAATGTGTTATTTCTGTTCAATACATCTATATATGTATTTTCAGGGAGAAGGTAGAATCAGACCTGATATTTCTGGGGCTGCTGATCTTGGAGAATCGATTGAAGGAAAAGACAAAACCTGTCTTGGAAGAGCTCATCTCAGCCCGGATAAGGACTGTGATGATCACAGGTGAGTTCTTAGAAACAGTAAGAATTTGATGTGGAAATAGACACGGTTCACTCATTTAATAAATATTGTTGACTACTCTGGGCCAGACACCATTCCAGCTGCTAGAGATGGGCAACAAAAAGGCACAGTTACTGCTTTCCCTGAGTTTCCATGTCAGTAGAACGAGAGAAAATCAACCAGTCAATCAAATAGTATCAGCGTTCTGAGCTACACAAATAGGATAATGTGGGAAAGTGTGTTTGACCATCTGTTTTAGATGAGATGGTTAAGAGAGGGCTTTCTGAGAGGTGACATTCGAATTAAGACCTGAATGACAAGAAGACATGAGCCAGGCAAAGATTATTTTTACTGACAAATGTTAGAAAAAGAAGCATCCTTAGTTGATGGGGTCTATAAACCATGCTGAAGGCTCATCAATCATAAAATCCACTATTCTAGAAATTTAAGAAAATGCTGTCCTCTCTACTCCTAATCCCCAAACTACAAATCATACAAACAAGAGAGCAATGAGAAGGAATCACACAAGAGAAATGTGTGAAATTTCTTAATGAAATTAAGTGTGACTTTATTAATGAAATTTCACACCGATGCTATAATTTTTTAATTGGAAAAGAGACTAGAGGTGAATAAATGATTTCCTAATGAATTCATGTTCACATTTTTGGGGTGTGTATTGCCTTTCTCTTCTCTGCTTTGATAGTCAGATGTTTTTAACGTGAAGATACATTATTTCCCCATCAAAGCAGGCACTTTATGTCCCCACTTCCGCTGAACCCAATTCTACAGTTGCAAACTCTACAATACTTTTATTTCCTCTTTTGTACTCCTCTGTCCCCTGTTTTACTTCCCACAATCCAAGAGTCTCCTGGACTGCTTTTACTTTTTCCCTTTCTGGCACCCCAATCCAACTTTTCGAAGTTGCTGAGTTAATTTACTATTTATTAGGATTTCCCTTACATTGTAACCATTCTGTTTCAAAAATCTTTATCTAGTTTAGCACTTATATGACACATTCTCATAATCTATCCTTAACTTGTTTATCTACAAGAGTTCATCATTCACCCTCTCTCTTTTCTTCTGCATTTCTCATATTGAAATTTCGGCTCTGTTTCTTTCCTTGTTTGTTTACAAATTTTTTTCCCTTGAGTATCGCCCTTGGATGGAATAGAGGGGTGATATGCCCTTTGATTTCTTATATATGCTTGAATAGCTTACTTTTTTCTGACAGGTGAATGATATCTTGCTCAGATATAGGACTCTTGAATTATTGTTCTTTTTTCTTAATGATCTATATGTAGAGGCTATTCCTTTTTCTTTCTGGCTTCTGATATCGCACATGACAAGTCCAGTCAGAGTCCATGTAAGTAATTCTTTTCTGCACATAATCTTTTTATTTCTCTTTTTTTTTTAATTGAACTTTAGGTTCTGGAGTACATGTGCAGATCATGCAGGATTGTTGCATGGGTACACACATGGCAATGTGGTTTGCTGCCTCCATCCCCCCATCACCTACATCTGGCATTTCTCTCCATATTATCCCTCCCCACCCCCTCACTGTCCCTCCCTTGGCCACCCCAAAGCAGACCCTAGCATGTGATGCTCCCCTCCCTGTGTTCCTGTGTTCTCATTGTTCAACACCCACCTATGAGTGAGAACTTGCGGTGTTTGATTTTCTGTTCTTGTGTCAGTTTGCTGAGAATGATGGTTTCCAGATTCATCCATGTTCCTACAAAGGACACAAACTCATCATTTTTTTTTGTGGCTGCATAGTATTCCATGGTGTATATGTGCCACATTTTCCTTGTCCAGTCTATCATTGATGGGCGTTTGGGTTGGTTCAGGTCTTTGCTATTGTAAACAGTGCCACTATGAACATACATGTTCTGCACGTAATCTTTTTAACTTTGGAATTTAGAAATGTTTCATTTTGCATTTGCCTTATTTCATTAACTTCATCTGGAACATGGAGAGCACTTTTAGAAAACTTTTTTAAAAATAATTTTTGTGACATAGTCTTAAGTCAGCATAATATTTGTCACTTTGAATGTTATACACATGATAAAATAGATTGCAAAAAGTGTCATATTTACAACAAGAACATTAGTTTATATAACTGAATCACCAAATATGTAACCTCTTGTAACAATAACTTAATGGTCTTAACTCTATTCTCTGAATGGAGCAATTTTTTGATGATTCATTCACTTAAAAAGTTTTGAGTTGAGTACAGTTTCTTGTTGCTTCTTTCTGTGATCCAAGGCTTTAGAATCAATCCCTGGAAACCAGTGATTAGAACCAGACTTTCCCAGAATCAAGAAGAGATAGGAGTGGGAGACACATGGAGAGCACTTTTTAAATCTTTCTTCCTGCCAGAAAAATTTTCCCTATTGTTTATTTAATTTTTGCCTCTATTCTCTGTCTTTCCATTTTTACTTCTGGAATTTTCATTATTTTCTATCCTCTCAGTCTATCTTTTTTCCTTGTAGTTGTCGTATTTTATTTATTTATTTTTTAGAGACAGGGTTTTGCTCTGTTGCCCAGGCTAGAGTGCAGTGGGTTGATCATAGCTCACTTTAGCCTTGAATTCCTGGGCTCAGGTGATCCTCCTGCCTCAGCCTCCTGAGTAACTGGGACTGCAGGCGTGCACCACTGTGCCTGGCTTTAGATTGTATATTTTTATAATTTTGCTTTAAGACTTTTTCTTTTTTTGCACCCAGTTTGTTCAAACCACAATCTTAGGTCTCAACAATGCTCATTATCTTTTTCAAATCCCCTTTTTGAGTTGTTCAGTTTTTAAATCTTGTATGGGGCGGTGGGAGTTGCTCGAGAAAATGTTTTTTGCTGCATTTGAGTTTTCTTAAGTGCTCTCCTTATTTATTTTTTATTTTTTATTTTTGAGATGGAGTCTCGCTCTGTTACCCAGTCTGGAGTGCAATGGCACGATCTCGGCTCACCGCAACCTCCGCCTCCTGGGTTCAGGCAATTCTCCTGCCTCAGCCTCCTGAGTAGCTGGGATTACAGGCACGCACCACCATGCCCAGCTAATTTTTTGTATTTTTGGTAGAGACGGGGTTTCACCATGTTGACCAGGATGGTCTCGATCTCTTGACCTCGTGATCCACCCGCCTCGGCCTCCCAAAGTGCTGGGATTACAGGCTTGAGCCACCGCGCCCAGCCTGCTCTCCTTATTTTTAAAGCAGGATTCATCTGTCTCCAGCAGCTTCTTGACTTCACTAGTCATGCGCTCTGATTGTTCCTCCTGATCTTTCCTGTTCAGCGTCTCGGATTTCTTAGATAGGTTGTTAGATTTTTTTTTTTTTTTTGGTCAAGTGATTGGTGCTCAGGCCTGGGATGTTTATCCTGATGAGTGGATCTCTCACAGGTGGTAGACGGCAAAAAGCAGACAGGCTGTCAGGGGCCTGCTGGGGCATGTTTGGGGCTCCCTGTATCCTTCCAGCCTCAGGTAGCTCCTTCCCACAGCTCTTTTGAGAATCTTCGTACACATTTTGGTAGAAACCTGGGAGAAGCTATGTTAAGGATAGCCAGCCAGATGTTATATGATTAATTTTTTAATGGTTGCTCTCAGAATCACAACATACATACCTTTCCTTTCAAGAAGCCTTATAACCAGGAATATCTCTTGCTTTCTCTCCTTTATGTCATTATTGTCATAAGTATGATATATGTTGAAAACCCCCACCAGATAGTGAGATAGTCTTTACTTTCAATACTGAAGTGTTAAAGAACATGAGTAAAGAAAATTAGACTTTTATATTTACCCAGATGATTATTATTTCTGTTTCTATGTTTTCACTCCTTAAGTTACAAGTTAACCTCTGGTATCATTTCCTTTCAACCTGAAGAACCCTGTAGCTTTTGTTGTTGTTTTTCTTTTGAGCATATCCACTTTCGACCAATTATCTTCATTTTCTTTCATCTGATAAAGTCTTTGTTTCTCTTTTATTCCTAAGGATAGTTTCAGCGTCTATAGGAGTCAGAGTTGACACTTCAAAGTGAAAGATGAAGTCAACACTTCAAAGATGTTGTTCCACTATGCTCTTCCCTCCATATTTTTGATGAGAAATCTGTGATAATTTGAATTACTGTTTTCTTATATGTAATGTGGTTTTCTCTAACTGCTTTTTTGTTTATCTTTGATTTTTAGCATTTTGATTATTATGTGTCTGCTTGTGATTCTCACCAAGTTCATCTCGTTTGGAAGTCACTGAGCTTCTTGAATCTGTAAATTTAAGGTTTTTTAAAATCATACTTGGGAAAATTTCTGCTATTATTTTTTCATTTTTTTTTCTTTTTCAACCTTTTTTCCTCTCCTTGGACTCTAATGACATGAATACCAGTTGTTTTGATATCTTTGAGTCTGTTCATTAAAACTATTTTTTTTCTCTGTTCTTCAGGTTGTATAATTTCCATTGATCTATTCTGCTATTGAGTGCATTCAGTGATTTTTTTTTTAATTTCAGGTATTATATTTTTTAATTCTAAAGTATCTATTCAGTTTTTTTCCTACAGTTTATATTTCCTTGTTGAGAACTTCTATCTTTCCATCTATTTCAGGAATATTAACAGTTAACACAGTAAGGGGGATTATAATTGCTGCTTTAAAGTCAGTTATCTGATACTTCCAACATTTAGGTTATTTAGGGATTGGCAACTGTTGTGACTTGAGAATTGGACAGATTTTCCAGATTTTTCATGTTGAATAGCCTGAACATTTTGAATATTATGTTGTGAAACTTCGAATCCTGTTATAATCCTCTGGAGAATGTTGAGGGTTTTTTTTTTTGTTTGTTTGTTTGTTGGCTAGCAATCACCCATAACCTCTATCTTTCCTGTTGAAGGTGGTGGTTCTAATATTGGCTTAAATATAAAATCTTTTGCTATGATGTTTGGGTCTGCCTCATTAAGAGGTTACTCTCACAAATGGGGGTGATTTATATCATAGTTTAATTCCTGAAGCTTTTGTTATCTTTCTTTGGATCTGATCCACACACGCATAGCTCTGGGCTGAATTTGAGACTTATGTAATTCATGTACTGAATTAGTCCCCGTGTCTGGCTCTCTTCTTTCCAGGATTCTTCCCATGCTCTTTAGCCTACAAGTGTCCCTTTTCCTGGCTCCTCTGGCCAGAAAGACTGTGTGTCTTTTGGAATTCTGCTGCCCAAACAGCTTCTTAACTGAGGCCCACATGCCAGTCAAATATGGAAGAGGGAAGAGAAAAAGAGCTGAGAAACTCATTCCCTTGTAGGTTGCTTCTACAACTTTGACTCCCTCCCACCGTCTGCCTGCTTTTGTTTACTTTTCAAAGTCCTTGGGGAGTTGCTTCTTGGTTTTTGTTCAGAGTTTTCCATTGTAATCAGTGTGGGAGAGAGATCGTAGTGGGCTTACTCCATTTTGACTAGAAGTGGAACCACCAGATACTCTACTAAACCAGAGGATTTGCCTAAACACTTGGAAAGCTGCTAACAAATGATGAAAATAGATTTGGATTTTGCTTTTTCATTTTCTCCCTTAGTCTGGCAAAAACACACTGGTAGAATATGAAGTAACTTGATGAAAATTAGTAAGAGCCAGAAAAGGGATCGTGGAGTCACAGAAGTCAGGGCTGAAAAGATATTAGGGATCATTTCTCTTCATACCTGAAATAAGGACTGAACTCCCCACTCTGGTTTTCTAGGCTCTGCATGAATTAGTTCTATCTCACCAGCCTCATTTTGAGATGTTCCTCCTTTCCTCTAGGTGACAATCTTCAGACTGCCATCACAGTGGCCAGAAAATCTGGAATGGTTTCTAAAAGCCAGAAAGTCATTCTCATTGAGGCAAATGAAACCACTGGGTCCTCATCAGCATCTATATCTTGGACATTAGTAGAAGAGAAGAAACACGTTACGTATGAGAATCAGGTATTCCTGAACACAGACCTTCTGCCACATTACCAATGTGTCTCACAGTGTTGGTGACTAAGCAGCTTTGACCTAGAGTCAACATACGCTTCCAAGTTTCTAACATATATGCTGTTGAATGAACTCAATTGCATTGGTTTTTCCATACTTTTCTTACTGAGCTTGAAGATACAGGGCTTTCCTGTGTGCTGGAAAGAATCCATCTTTTAAACTTAAAAAATGGTTGGCCCTGTATGAGAAAGAATATAATGAGTGGAGCTGAATCTAACTTCTCCCTTTCCCCTTGCTTGTCAACCACCCCACTGGGTTAAAAGGGGGATCCAGTTCTTGGGACAGATGCTGTTGTGTGTGAAACCTTTTTCTCACCCTGAAAACACAGTCAGAAAATCAGACTGTGTTTTCAGGGTGAGAAAAAAAAGTTTTATTCATTTATTGCCAGTCTTGTCAGTATTCAATCTCCATTGTATCCTTGTAGAACAATATTAATTCCCTAAGGAAAAAATAGTAAGTTATCATTTCAGGGAGAAATTTGTTAAGCTGCAGTGCTTTTGTATTTTACACTTGAAATATGTGAAATGTGCCCTTCTCTGGGACTTACCAAGATCAAATCAGAATAAAAACAGGACATGAGTAAGTGTTATCTTCCTGTTCACTAGTTGTCTGTGATGTGCAAAGACTGATCCAGCAAAAAGAAAATGCTTCTCTGAGGAATCAGAGTGATCTTTACAGAGAGATCCTGGGCCGTCTTCATTATCTTCTCTCAGATATGCTTGTGGTTCTAACCACTCTGTCAAATGAAGGAGTCTAAAATAACTGTGTCTTGCTTTGTAGGACAATTACATTAACATCAGGGATGAAGTCTCTGATAACGACAGAGAAGGAAGTTACCATTTTGCCCTAACTGGAAAATCCTTTCATGTTATAAGTCAACATTTCAGCAGCTTACTGCCAAAGGTAAGTTCTAAGAGGGTAACAATCTCCCTGTGAAAATGCTGATGATGTCACTTACAGAGCATGCTTGTAAATTATTTCAAATCTTGAAACAGGTAAAACATATGCAGTGAGTTCTCTGTATCTTAAGAGAGACCAACATTTTTGTAGAGGATACTATTGTCTCATTTCCTACTAGGTTTGAAATAAATAAACTTGATTAGTCAATTTTCCACCATCTATACAACTGAAGTGTCAGTGATTTCTTGAATTGTAAAGATGATTTTAGGAGGCTGTCAATATATTGCCCTGGTAAGGGGTCTCAAAGTGTAATGGAAAGCCTGCAATTATACAGGGAGGAGACCAAGAATAAAGGAACACCATTCGTTTTCTGATAGATGACCTCTGTACTCAAGAAGGTCAAACTTAAAGCTTTAGTAGGAGGGAGGTAAGTTTTAGATATATAGTTGTCCCTCAACCTCTTGCTGTTTTGCAGTTCAAGGTTCCATTAAGCTCCAGATTTTTCAGGACCACATTCCCCATGGCAGCTGAGGTAAATTCCTGTAGGTCACCATTTTCATAAAATATTTTTTGTTAAGTGATTATCTTTACTGATTTTTGTTTTTCACTGACAACTTATCTGATGACCAAACCCTCAATGTTTGTCTTACAATACAAAGGAAGGCTCATGGGAAACTGTTTTTTTTCTTTATCGTAAGTGTCATGATACAGTCAACATTCTGAGTGTTATCAATTATTTCATGTCCAACCGGTTGACTTGATAAAAAAAAAAATCTCCATTTTGGGTTCCTTACAGATACTGATCAATGGGACCATCTTTGCAAGAATGTCTCCCGGGCAGAAATCCAGTCTGGTGGAAGAATTTCAGAAACTGGAGTAGGTTCTTTGCCAGTGCAGGTGGCATGAAGTGCATGGAGGCATGGCAGTCAGGGGGAGTGGAAGAGGCACAGGGAGTCACTCAGATTGGCAAGGGCAGTGGTCCTTACTCTGGCTGCATGAGGTAGTCACTTGAAAGCTTTGGGAAAAATAGCAATACCAAGGGATCCCACCATTCAGACATCCTGATTCACTTGTTTATACGGGGCTTGAAAAATCAGTATTTTTTTCACGTAAGTCAATGTTGCGTTTGATGTTGAGGATCACTGCACTAGAACCTAAGGGGCCTGAAAGAGTATGGAGAGAAATAAGACTGAAAAGGTAGCTGGAGCTCAGCTCCCGGAGGGAATGAGAATTTAGACTTTATTTGTATATGCTGTCATCACTATGATGACATAGGGAGATTCATATGACAAGAGATTCATGTAACCCTAAAAATACTACATTATTTGTATGCCAAAGCATTCTTTCACATTCTAAATCAGAAAAATTATTCAATTCTAACACAAAGGGTCTCCATTCCTAGACAGAATGGGCAGTCCAAATGAAGTGCCCATATCATTTGGGACCCTTTGTTTCCTGTTAATAGAACCCCACAGAATACCAGAGGGTTTCACCACTTTTCTCACCGGGTCACAACAACATGATTCTGACTCCTACCCATTTCTACTCTGTCCTCCCATTCATTTGACTCCGTTATCAGGCTAGCTTCTCAGTTTGGAAAGCCTTGTCTTTTCAACAGGGCTGAAACCTAGGGAGTCAATGAGTTACCTCCACATAGCAGTGTGGAAGAAAAGTACAGCATATTCTATGAATGCTGTCAGAATGTGCATAATTTTAAAAGCTGGCTATCGATAATCCTTGTCAATGATTCAAGAGAGTATTCACGCATCCTGAAAAAGCCATTGTGAAGCAGGAATGTGTTTTCTTTCTTCAGCTTCTAGGCCTGGCATTACATACTTGAGTGACTGTTGACAGGGTGGATTTCCTCTCATGCCAGTATTAACAGCACAAACCCCTATGACTTGTTATCACTTTAGACTTGAACACTTTCCCATAAAGCACCTCATTTAATACTCATAGCATTTTGTAGGCAAAATAATCATAATAAAGGGAATAATAATAATAGTGAAAATGGTAAGATGGCCAGGTCGACATTGATCTGGTTTCAAATCCTGTGCCCTCTCTGCCATGCCATACTTACATCATATAATTGTGAGCCCCTCTGCTTTACAGCTGAGAAAGCTCTCCCTACGCAGTGACGTGCAGTGTCTACATGGAACATTTAACAGTTATTGTATAAACTGCTGAATTACCCTTTTTTTAGTCAAAAAATTACCCTTTTTTCAGTTCTCTTAAATAATGAGTTTGAACCCTAATGATGATCACTTGGTTTTTTTAATTAGAGAAATTAGCAAGATAGCTTTGATGTCCTCTACAATTAATGTGGTTCCCTCTTAGTTACTTTGTAGGTATGTGTGGTGATGGAGCCAATGACTGCGGGGTAAGTAGCTGCCAGTGTGTGTGGCCATAATCTCACGTTCAGTTATACATAAGCCCTGTAGAGGTAGTACTCCTGGGATATACACCATTTCCATTCATCTTGATGGATAAACTTGCATTGGGAGGCTTTTGACCAAAGTCACACGATGAGTCAATGGTTAGTTTAGGCTACGTGGGGAAGAATTTGGTTCTGGAATTCTCATTTCTTTGGCTGGGCATCCTAATGCCATCTTTTTCTTACATTGCAGGCAGGGTTAAGTCTCTTGGTTGGAGTTTGGGCATACAAACCACCTTGTGGCCAGCTTAACTGGCCTTTTCTTATGAGGCTTTAGCAGAGACATCTATGAGTCTATGTGGGGAGTAAGCTGATTCTTTGCTTTCAGGCTCTGAAAATGGCTCATGTGGGCATCTCTTTATCAGAGCAGGAGGCATCTGTGGCCTCACCTTTCACTTCCAAAACTCCAAACATTGAGTGCGTACCTCACCTTATCAAGTAAGTAGGCACCTCCTCAAACGTGGTTTTCTCTCTCTTGACCTTTGGTGCAAATCACATTGTTCTGCCTGGGAACAACCAGAGAATCGTGTCCCTGAGTGGGGAGGGTGCTTTGTGGAGGAATGCGGTCAACCATTCTTCTTCTTCCAAATGGATTTTCCAGAAGTTAAAAGTAACATTGGGAGAGCAGTGGCATTTCCAATGAATTCACTGATTAGGTTATTTTTAGAAGACTGGAGTCTGGAACTTGTTATTGCTTTGAAAGTGTCAGTCATCCTCATTTTTCAAATGTTATCTATCTCTTTTTCAATTTTTATTTGAAAAATAAAGTTTTCACAAACTTAATTGACTTTTGCTGCTTTCACTAAAATTTGCCTTGATGCTCTCCCCCACTGCCACTCTGCCGAAAATGTACTTCTGCTCCATTGTATTTGAATGATACAGATAGTTAGCATGGTGGCTGCTCTTGGTTATTATAACTGACATGTGTTTATAGTTTAAAAATGCTATAATGTCTACTATCTTCAAAACAGCTTGGGGATGCAGGAATGGCTATTATTTTTAACAAATAAAAAAATTGAAGTTCAGAAAATTTAATTGATATGCCCAAGCACTTACAGCCATGTAAGGTTAGAGATTGTTTTAGAATTAATTTTATTTAAATGTCATTTATCTGCAGATACACTCTTCCACCACATTAAAATAATACTTTGGCTAAGTCCTCCCAATTTTTTATTTATACATGCATTTGACAAATATTTAGTGAGTAGGCATTTAGCGTCAGAAACTAAGGGAGATTACTGATTTTGATACTGATAAGGAGAAGCTACCTCTGGGCAGAGGAAATGTCATGACAAAACTCTGATACAGAAAAAACCTAGTTTGAGGATCAGGTTTTAGTACCCCAGGAAATCATAATGGGCATGAGTTTAAACTTAAACTAAAAAAGTATAATGTAGTTTGGGGGCAGTGGCTCATGCCTGTAATCCCAGCGCTTTGGGAGGCCGAAGTGTGTGGATCACCTGAGGTCAGGAGTTTGAGACCAGCCTGGTCAATATGGTGAAACCCTCTCTCTACTAAGAATACAAAAAAAAAAAAAAAAAGAACCAAAAACATTAGCTAGATGTGGTGACGCATGCCTGTGATCCCAGCTACCCAGGAGGCTGAGGTGGGAGAATCCCTTGAACCTGAGAGGTGGAGGTTGCAGTGAGCTGAAATCCTCAAACCAGGTTTTTTACTGTAGCAGAGTTTTGCCATGACATTTCCTCTGCCCAGAGGTAGTTTTTCCTTATTCCCCACCTCCTTAGAGAGGTTTTCCCATACCACTGCACTCCAGCCTGGGTGATAGAACATGACCCTGCACTCCAGCCTGGGTGATGGAACAAGACTCTCTCATAAAATAATAATAATAATAATTTAAAATGTAAAAGTATAACTTAGACTCTAATTTTCCCCAAATGAAATAGATAAAAGTGACATTTCATATGTCATCTATTTCATGCTTTAAATGTGTATTATTCAATCAATTGACAATAACACAAATGAAAGAAAATGCTCATCCTTTCCAGCCTATTTCAATTTGATATATGACTAATTTAAGTGTATATATTGTTTTAGTCCAGTTTTAGAAAAAGCTGGGACTGCCAAAATGAAATCTGAATCCAATGTTTGCCAAGCTCCCGAGTCTTCATTATGAAAATAAACCCTAAATCTGCAATTTTATTTAAATCCATTAGGTCACAGATGAAGAAACTGAGACAAAAGAAATGATCTTCCATGTCACATTAGTGAGTAGGTATAAGATCTGGCACTAGCTCCCAGGTCCCCTGATCTGAGTTCAGGAGCTAAATCAATGCCTGCTGAAAGGACATAAGCAACTGTAAATCTGGACTCCATCACCAGATTAAGGCACTTGGAACTTGGCCTGGAATTGGTCTTTCTTAAAAATCGTGTTGTTCAGTTTACTGACAGCCAGCATCCACCACCTCAAGGCTGTCGATTTTCAGACAAACGGTTGTGTAATGACTTTTGATTTTTTTCTCCTGAGCTCAGCTGAACAGCACAGAATAACTGACCTTATTTCTTTTCATTACTTTCATTTCATGTCTTTTTCATTTCTTTTCTTATACAGGGAAGGACGTGCAGCTCTCGTTACCTCCTTTTGCATGTTTAAGTACATGGCTCTGTACAGCATGATTCAGTATGTTGGTGTTCTGCTGCTCTACTGGGTATGACTTGGGACTTAGCCTCTTGGTTAGTGTGAACTAAAGTAGTGATGCACTCTCAATTTACAATGCCTCTTAAAGAAATAGTACAAATAGGATATCTGAGCAGCAATAGCCCTTCCAAAAATATCCTTAAGAATTTTTAAAGTAAATCAGAATTAGACAAATTTTTACAGGAAAAGTTGCTGATGTCAATTCTCTGATATAGAAATCTTTTATCTAGTGACAGCTGAGGATCACAACTAAATATATTGCATTTTCTCTTGCTCTTACTTTTACCTGATTGGACCTGGTCTTTATCTTCCTAATTCCAATGTGGCTCTCCCCTAGTCTACCACTCGCTAAAGAAATAGTTCTCCACATCGGGTGCTGCTAAATGCTTCATAATTGAACCTCCTTAGAAAAATAAGACCTGATTATTAATGTTTGCCCATTTCCGTGATGTAAACACTCCTATCATAATCAGTTTCAAGCTGTCTCTCCATTGTCACTAAACATGAAGTGGAGAAAAGATGTACAGCAGTATATCATTCTGTAGAACTTGTACCATATAGATACAAGAGTTGAAATAACCTCAAGGGCACAGGTAAGAATAAAATGTAGAGAAATATCAGAAAATGCTAAGCTTTGAGTATGTATTAACTTTGGTTTTAGTATAATTTATTTAATGGTACGTTGGTTTAATTTAAATTTTTATACTGGCCTTGTTTAACAACCAGGTCACAACATCTCTGAAAATTTAGCAATTGACTTTTCAGTGCTAGTCTAAGCCAGCATGCCACTGGTTCCCTCAATATAGGGATTTGAAAATTGGCATATCATATCACCAAAAATACATAGGTCTTTTGACTACTTTTATTATTTAGCAAGATATAAAAGGAGAATAAACACGCCCATTGTCTATGAACTCAACATGGGAGCTTACTCCAACAAAGGAAATTTCATCATCTTTATATACTGCTTTCTTTTTCCTGGGTTAAAGGTTTTAGTTCTATTGCTTTCAGATTAACTGTATCTTTTCCTACTCACTGATAAATGAGCTAGAGAAGAATAGGCTATTTATGGAAATTTGGCTGTATTTTAGAATTCTCAAATTATACTCAAAAGTAGAATTAAGCATTATCTCCCTTCCACTAAGTGTTGGGGAGCAGGAAAGTGAGTTTCTTAAAATTGGTAAGACTTGAACTTTTTCCTCAAGAGTATTAAGATGCTTTGCTAGGATTTTCTAACATTTTGTCTAAAAACATTCAAGAATACAAATCGTGGGTTTACTTATTCTCATTTTCCATCAGTAAAATTTATGTAAGGAATGTATTCTTTTATTGTGTGAGATGAAATCCTAAATTTTCTGTTAACAAGTAGAAAAGAGAACAGAGATGAATCTGGTAGGGGAAGATGTCCTCCTTAACAGATTAATAACAATGCACATCGTGTGCCCCTGAAGCACACGATGACGGCCCTCCTGAAGAGAGAAGGTTTCACAGGTTTGGCTTTGATTACTTCCACCAACACCATCACTCATCAACTCAACCAGGCCCCAGCCACAGCATCTCCACAGTAGTTACTTGAAAAACCCTGTGTCTCGTGAGAAAATAAATGTGATCAATGTCTAATTTCATCCAGAAGGCCACAACTTTTTGATCTGATTTCTTCTTGTTTTCAGAAGACAAACAGCCTTTCAAATTACCAGTTTCTGTTCCAGGATCTGGCCATTACAACTCTTATTGGTGTAACAAGTAAGACATTTTAAAACTTTCTTACCAGAGGTGCTACCCTCAGCTGGCCTCCCTCTGCCTTGGAAAGCTTTGTCTACGGTGAGGGACAGCAGCTGCAACAGCAGCAATGATGTGTAACTTATTCCCAAATATATGCAGAGAGAGGAAATAGAATCCTCATTTTTGGGTATTGCAAGAAAGTATTAGCAAAGGAAAAACCTGCTCACTATTTTGCTCTTTCCTGCAAAATGTGGAACTTCTATAAATGGTCACTAAACACTTAAAATGAAAAAATGCAGCTTGAAAATCAGGAACACTAACTTCAGAGTGCTTTTAGGAATAGTTATAGTTAAATGTGCCAAATTTATAGAAGCCAAATGGCTTTTATATTTCTCATATCTAAATCTTAGCTTCTCAGGATTTAGAATGAAGATTAAAGGTAATCTTGCCATTATATCTCTCTTACCCTCTACCTTCTAGTAAATATATAAATTGTCTTCCTAATTTCCTTATTTATGACTTCATTTTTTTAAAGCTGTCTTAGATTTACAACAAAATTGAGAGGAAGATACAGAGATTTCCCATGTACTGACACATGCATAGCCTCTGCTATTATCAACATTCCTCAACAGAGTGGTACATTTGTTGTAACTGATGAACTTACATTGATGAATGATTAACGTTTTGACATGTCTTTATTGTTTTGCTTTTGTCTTACTAGTTCAGCTAAAGGAAAATCTCAAATAGCACTCATGTTGGAACTAACTCAGTCATCAATTGCAACCATAGGCTGATGCTGGATACAAGAGTTTGGCAAAACTCAGTGAAAGCATTTTATGAGAAACAATTAATAATAATATCGTTTTCCAAAGTCCATAGTTTACATTGCAGTTCATTCCTGGTCTTGCATATTTTATGAGTTTGAGCATATGTACAATGACATATATCCGTCATTACATTGTCATGCAGAGTATTTTCACTGCCCTAAAAATCCTCTTTGCTCTGCCTAGTCATCTTTCCCCCCTTCCCAAAGCTCCTGGCAGCCACTGTGATGTTTTGCTATCTCAATAGTTTTGGCATTTCTAGAATGTTATGCAGTTGGAATCATATATAGGCTTTTCAGATTTTTTTTTCACTTAGTAATATGCATTTAAGGTTCCTCTACGTCTTTTCATAGTTTGATAGTCCATTTCTTTTTAGTGCTGTATAATACTCTATTGTCTGGATGTCCCGCAGTTTATTTACTCATTTGCCTACTGAAGGATATCTTGGTTGCTTCCAAGTTTGGGCAACTGTGAATAAAGCTGCTATAAACATCCATGTGCAGATTTTTGAGTGTAAATAAGTTTTCATTTCCACTGGGTAAAGGATTGTGTAGTAAGAATGTGTTTTGTTTTGTAAGAATCTGCCAAGCTGTCTTTCAAAGCAGCTAAACTAGTTTGTATTTCCACTACTGATGACTTACAGTCCTTGTTGCTTCACATACTCACCAGCATTGAGTTTTGTTAGTGTTCTGGATTTTGGCCATTCTAATAGGTTTGTAGTAGTTCCGTTTATGCTTTTACTCTGGTTTCCTCTGACCTTCTCAAGGATTTTATTCCTTTAATAATCTTTCTCCATTATTATCAACCTTTCTCTTATTTCCTAGATCATTCCCAAAGGCGTATAATACATTCTCATATCTTCTTCCTTTAAAAATCTTCTTTGACCCCAATCCACCACTAGCTACTGCCCCCTTTATTCTGAAGCTTCCCAAACAGTTATGTATACCTACTTTCTCCACTCTCATCTCTAATTCGACTGCCAGTTCCATTAGCCAGACCCTAACACCCAGGGACAGGAATTTGATTTTGGGGCTTATGCAGTTGTTCAGTGGGAGGCAGTGGTATACTTGCAAATGTTTAACAACTTGTTCTCCAAAAAAGTTTGAATATACATATAATATATATTTATTTGTTTCCATATATAATGGAAACATATATATACAGGAAACATATATGTGTGATATATAAATATATATACTCACACACCCCTATATATTTAGAAACATTTATATATAGAAAACACACACATATATATATTTACACACACACACACACACACACATATGGAAACAACTTTACTGAAAAGAAATGTGTAGTGAGCGATTTGCAAATAATAACAAAATACAGAACACTCTTTTTTTTGGAGACAGAGTCTCACTCTATCACAAAGGTACAGCGGCATGATCTCGGCTCACTGCAACAACTGCCTCCCGAGTTCAAGTGGTTCTCATGCCTCAGCCTCCCAAGTACCTGGAATTACAGGTTCATGCCACCATGCTTGACTAATTTTTGTATTTTTAGTAGAGATGAGGTTTGGCCATGTTGGGTGGGCTGGTCTCTAACTCCCAACCTCAAGTGATCCACCTGCCTCAGCCTCCCAAAGTGTTGAGATTACAGGTGTGAGCCACCACGCCCAGCCAAATATGTAATACTCTTTATTGCAAATTTCATTAGCCAATGAATTGTCACAAAATGCTTTCATTGAGTTTTGCCAAACTCTTGTGTCCATATCAATATCAATCTATAGTTACAACTGATGACTGAGTTAGTTCCACATGAATGTTGGTTGAGATTTTCCTTTAGGCTAGTAAGACAAAAGCAAAACAACAAAGACTTACGTCAAAACTTCAATCATTCACCAGTGAAGTGGGAAGCTTACTTGTTGAATCATATTAGTTCTTGAATGCTGGAAGAATATTTCCTCGGTTTAAAAAATACTGACAATGTAATGGCTATAGATGTGACACATTTCTAAGTTAAGTCTTCATTACTAACCTCAAGGGCATAGATAATACTAAAATGTAGCAAAATAATGAGAGAGTTATTGGTTTTGAGTATTTATTATCTTTATGTTTAGTATCATATATTACTGCATGTTTATAAAATTTACTTTTAATAGTGGCTATTTTGAATAGCTGCACTGAGATTTAGCAGGAATTTGTCCTTATGAGCCAATATGAACCAGCTACAGCCACCATTGTCTGACTATGTACATTACTGACACATTACAAAGATGCAAGTCTTTAATTGTCTCTTCTACTTGCCCCATGGTCTTTATATCTTCTCATCATAAGCTTTATATCTTCTCATTATAATCTTAACAGCTATCATGCCAATTTATTTTAAAAACTTGTTTAAACACTCAAAAGAATTTACTAAGTGAAGCAACTGCTCCTTCCTGATACTGCTCTGTCAGGGTTCACCAATTAGTTTCCTGCTGTCAGCATCAGGGACCCCTTCTCTCTCTTACTGTTGACTCTCTCAACAGCACTCTTTTTCCTCCAGAGGTTTCTTTTGACGTTTGTACTACACACATTCCTGGATTACCTGCTACCTTACCCCCATCTCTTTTGCTGATCCCTGCTCCTTTACTTGTTCTCTGTTAGAGTATTTCAAGTCTTGTCTGGATCTTCTGTCTTTTCAGTCTATGCCATCTCCATAAGTAAACTCAACCAGTCCCATGACTTTAATATTAGCTATATGCTGATGAACCCCAAATTTATATCCCTAGCCTTAATGTCCATCCAGACCTCTGGAAATGTAGCTACTCTGCATCTAACAATGGATATTTAATAGGGCTCAAATCTCACATTCTCAAACAGAACTCTTAATTCCCCCAGATCTGATATTCAATATAATCATTATGTACTTACTGAGTCACTGGTTTGTGCTACTTACTGATCTAGGAACTTGGAATAAGACATCAGTGAAATGAAACAAGGTTTCTTTCCACATGGAGCTTACATTCTACTGAATTGTACTACTATCTACCCAGTTGTTCAAGTCAAAGAACTAGAGTCATCCTTTATTTTTACTCTTTTCTTCACTCATCACCTCCAATACATATGTAATTTCTATTGGCACTGCCTCCAAAACATACTCTGATTCCTCACTGCATCTTCTGTATAGCCACCATCACTAATCACTAAGCAATAGCAGGTCTCTTGTGAGTTACTGTAACAATCTTATAGCTGATCTTGCTTCCACTATTGCTCCCCTCTCCTCACTCCCATTTACACAGTAGTAAGAGTGTTGTTCTTACATGTAAATTTTATTATTCATTCTCTTGCTTAAAATGCTCCAATGGCTTCCCATTTTGACTCAGTTCAAGTCTTAGTGATTGGGCTCCTGACTACTTCTCCCATTTCACCTCTAACCACATTGCCATTCACTGACGTGCCTGCCACACTGGTCTTACTGCCTCTGGTACATTGTCAAGCTGTGGGCAACTCAGTACCTTTGCATTGGCTATTCCTTTTGCCTAAAGTACTCTCCCTTAGACATTTATATGTCTTTGACTTTTTCTTATTATTCATATTTTAGTTCAAATGTCACTCCTTCAGAAAGATCACTTTAATAGTGAACAAGCCAAATGTCTGTTACACAACTCTGCTTTAGGTTTTCACAGTACTTTCCACAATCTGAAGTTACGATATTTATCTTTGTTTTCATTAGCTTTTTGCCTGCTTCTCCTCATTCAGAATGTGTGCTTCATGAGAACAGCATTTAGTCTGTATTGATCCATGCTATGATCCCAGTAATTCTGACATATCAGAAGGAGCTTGTTAAATATTTGTTAAAACTATTGAAAGAACAACCTTGGACAGGCTTTGTTAATTCTGTTAGCAGAATTCCCCTTCACACGAAGCCAAATTTATCTCTCAATGTGTAACTTTCACCCATCCCAGTTTTGCCATTTGAAGTGTCACAGAAGTTTAATTTCTTTCTCCAGAACAGGCCTTCTGTTTGAAATTTCTTTCAAACAGAAAATTCTTTCTTTTTTTTTTTTTTGCAGAAAAGTTATTTTATTTAGGTAGAGAAAGAGGAAAAAACGTAGAAGAAGAGAGAAAACTTCCACACGAGTGAGAGAGTGTGTGTGGAAGGGGATCCGAAATGGAGTCCCTCAAACAGAAAATTCTATTTGAAAGAATTTGGAAACAACTCTTATTCTGATTGTTCTCTTCTCCATAACAAGTA